ATTACTGAAGATACAGTTACCTGTTATTAACAGTGATATTTCTAAATGTTGTGTGCAATATTTTTGCTTTCCACTGCGGTAACGAGATGATTCGAATATGGTGGACCTATAAGAAGACTTGAAAATATCTATATTTCAAGCTCAAACAACCTCGATGACGTGCAGGTGAAAAGCGGCAAATTGTTGGAAGAGGCAGACAGCGAACGCAGGACTCCATATGAAGATATACAAGACGGAGGTGATGAATACACAAAAACCAACAAACAACAACAACGGCCAGCACAGTTACTATCCACAGGAGAGTTTTGACTTGAGTTACTTCTTACACTTATCTAGGAAGCATCGTTTTTACCATAGCCGGGAGGGATGAAGATGTTGAAGGCAGGCAGGGTATGCATTCATCAGCGTGAAATCAATTTAGAAATTGTCTGTGTTCAGGAATTCACATTTTCAACACAAGTGTTGAGTTAATCTTTTTATTCCACCGAGAAACTTGATGTGTCATGAAAAGGATTTCCGACAGATTGTAGTCTTTTATATACAGTTATCCTTACAGGTTTCTCATAGAAGATTGAATGGCTGGATAATATCAGTGAAACAAATCTCTGGGAGTGCTCCAACAAAGAATTGACAGCTCATTAAATAGGCGGAGGAAATAATAGACGTAAAATGCACAAACTGGAGGGATCATTGGATGATCTCGTGCATATAAACACAATCTTGAGTGAAGCTCGAGTGGGAAAAGATGATAGCAGTTTACGAAGGTGATACGAAAATGATCCTGCGATGAGGAGATAAAAAATTACGAGGAATATCCGGCGCAGGTAAAGAGGACAGCAGAAAATAAAACGAAGTGTAAATATGTTGTTGAAACCTAAACTTTAACTTTGAAACCAAAAGAAAAATGGTAATAATTATAACAGACTTACATGCAAGCGAGTGCCACATAATTTTTCCAATCAGTTTTATACGTTTCAGTCACCTGAAGGATAAAGGAATCATTTTTATATTGGTCATAGTTTAGATAACAATAATGGGTTACCAATACTAACGAAATTGACAGCGCTGCCAAGAAATGGTGTTCGTGACGCCACAATCCTACGAAGAGTTAAGTTTAGACAAAAACAATTTATCCTTATGTCTCACCAATCGACATGGGTATCTAATGCTTGAAGATTGTTTACAGATGTAATGAATGTGATATGATGATTGTATTATAAGTTTGCATCCTATTAAACACGCACAATACAGTCCATATTAAAAAAACAAATAGTACGCAAAGATGAGAAATTCAGCAGGGTATACCTGAAAGTAATAATCGGTGTGTGTATAAAAATGTAGCAATCCTGGTTGTGTGATTTAAAAAGTGGGAATTAGAATGCCATAATAAGCAGGGGGGTGGTAAAACAAACAAAGTAGCATTATAATAACTCAGAAGACTGACATTGTGCAATTAAGGGTTAGAAATGTAGAAATAACAAAATAGAAAGGATGTTTGGATAAAAACTAATGTGATGAATAATTGTTTATGCAATCAGGGATTAAATATGTAGAAATAGTAAAATGACAAAATAAACACTAAGTTCGGGTATGAATATATGGTAGTGTAAACAGGGATTAAGAAAACTTGAAATAACATGAATAAACAGGAAATTTAGATAAGAAAGGAGATGGGATGGTGATTACTAAAAATTACCTGTTTATGATGGCCATGGCAAGGACAGGGGTTGGACGTATTTCTTTTGTATACAAAGCGTGGGTTTGAGCTTTTGTATAGCTAGCGCCTCGGCTATGCCCAGATGTCTTGATTTTACTCCCTTTGATAGTTTTGATCGAATCTTGTAAATGATTTTGAAGGATTTTTCGAGTGGCGCTGAATGTCCTGAATTCACCAGATGTTCTGTCACCGAACTATATACCCGTTTTCGTTCTCCTTTTACTAGTCAGGCTGGATAGTGTTCACGAGCGCGTTTTTCCTGTCTATTTTGTTATTTCTACATTTCTAACCCCTAATTGCACAATGTCAGTCTTCTTAGTTATTATAATGCTACTTTGTTTGTTTTATCCATCCCCTGTTTATTATGGCATTCTAATTCCTGATTTTAATTTTTATTAATTTGACCCTTGACCGGATATTATTCTGGAACTTTCCCATCCATTTGATTTAAAAAGTACAATTTAACCCGCTGAAGCTTCCGCTTAACAATTGTTACGTTAGTTAGGTGTTCATAGTCATAAATAGCAACACCAGATCTTTAAATTTTTATTTCATGAGGACAACATAAGTCGTTGTGAAGAGTGTGAATTGTCTCGACTCCAAGTGAATGTGCAGACATCTACTAATTAGGCTGCTAACAGAATGAGTACAAAAAATTGGAAGGACGCGAACAAACATAGACTCTTTCCTCTGATATGAACATCACTGCTCAAAATTGATATCAAGTGTTAATCTCATAAACCACAGAATCAAGAAAAAAGAAGGAATGTAGACTCTGAATAATGACAAGTAAATTATGGTCACGGTAAAATAACAAAAATTTCAACTGCTTACTTGTAATAAAATTGTCATCTTCAACTAAACGTTATGGTATTTACTTGGAGAGATGTTCAAATACTGCGTAAATATATCCATCTCATTCCTGAAACTTTGATTCAAAGTTTTGTTTACATTTACTGTAAAATGTTTATTTTGATGGTAATCAAATCTTCAACTGACGCAAAAGTCTTCCTATTCCTGTGCGTAATCATTTCATTGCGTGAATAGTAAATAAACACTTTAGAACAACACTGGAAATATTTTATTGCATGTAGACTGTTGAACTCACAGAACAACAAAATATGAAAAAAATAACCAAAAATTAATTATGCTACTCGAATTCATAGGATGATTGTGTACGTGGACGTCAATGTAGTTGTCTTTTGCTAGATTATCATCACATATTATTACGAATAAGAGTAATTTATTGATCATATAATGCGATAATGCGGTAATTTCTATTCGTATCTTATTTTTCTTCGACAGGTTGATACCTGCTTCCTTAGTCCATCACTCGTGTCTGTCATAACTTTAGAATAGTTTTCAGTTGATTAATCACATGTTGTCATACTGTTAAAGAAACAGTAGACCTTATCCATATACATAGAACCGTTACAACATGTAAGTTCAGAGATAACATATTTGAATGATTCTGTGCACGATGTTAAGTGCACAGCCGTACTATTAATCCGGTAAATATATAGAATATATGGTAGAACTGAAAACTATCAGTACTTCGGTAACATATAATTGATATAATTAGAAGTTTCATGTTCCCATCCTCTCAGTGTTGCTAGCTGGTCATAGCTGATTACAGTCGCAAATAACTATTGCATTTGAAAGTGTTGAGCAGTAGCCTACTAACCTTAAAATTAAACTTAAAAATCATAGAGCTTTATTTCAGACAGAATGTGAATACAGTGTACAAAATGTTTCAGCATGCTTCCCCTTTATTCTCAATTTACATGTAAAGTAATGACCTGCAGTTAATTGGTGTCTAGCAGTGGAATCACCGATGCCTCGGTGGGAACATCATCACTGACTGCGGAATGCAGTTGACGAGGCCAAATGGTACGAAATGCGCATCCTGGATTCCTCTGCTAGTCACCGTCCATCAACCGACTAATAATAACATGGAAAGACATTGTCGAACTATGTACACCAGATGCAGACATGTCAACCTGAGACCCAGCACTTCATTCAAATCAATCGACTTGAAAATCTAAAATTGATTTAAATTTTCTGATACATTTTGAAACATTGGTTTTTTAGGGATTTTGTTTGATTACATGGATGATTTAATCATGAGCTGACATCAATTAGAGAACCACTGGAAAACCTGGGAGTACTGGACAGCTGTTTCGTTCTAGTTGGAACTCTTCAGCAGTACGCACCCACCGGGATTCGAACCCAGGTACTTCTGGTTACAAGGCGAGCTCGTAGACCATTGAGCCACTGGGACCCGATCCAGTGGTTCTTCTGCCATGCAATCAAACAAAATCCCTACGAAACCAATACTTGAAAATTAATCTGATGCTCACTAGTGACTGGCCCTATTCAGGCAGTTAACCTGGGGTTCTACTGGGAAGCCGTGACCAGTAGGGTAGAGCAGGTTGAAGATGAGGCAGTAACTCATCGAAGAAGACATTGCGAAGTGGTCGCACTATATCGTGGACCGGTAGAAGTTAGAATTCAAGAACCATTGGATCGGGTCCCAGTGGCTCAATTGTCTACGAGCTCGCCTTGTAACCAGAAGGTCCTGGGTTCGAATCCCGGTGGAAAAGAAAGCTGTGGTATAAAAGGAAAAAGCCTCAGCAGTGTTCATGACAGAAAGAATCGGAATTACACATACCTGGTAGTGTATCAAAATCAACAGGATTTAAATGAAGAAGGACAGGTTTTACGCACACCTGTAAGAATTAATCGACAAGACAATTACACCTGAATAAAAAGTGTGATATTATGTGGCGAATAGTTTGTTCATACTGTCTTGATGAATATCATCAACTCTATTCGCATGTTTCATCACCAACTATAATTTTTCAGATGCAGTTAATAGAGACGCAATAGACCTAATTTTAGCAGTCTTTAAACGGTCTAAACACATAATCTTACTGACGTCACTCATCGTTAATTTATATGCAGTACTGAACACTCGGTAAACATAAAATTCACACTCTGAATTTATTGTCATTTTCTTCATATCAAGGATGATTCTCGTCACAATATAGTGTGTAGGAGGTAGCGTCTCACTATCCACCACAGGATTGAAATCCATTCATACATTATTGGTAAAAAATAAAATATATGACTGCAAAATATATTTCAAGCAGAATTTTTAATTTCGACAACATAACCAGCAAGAGAGAGAGAGAGACAGGTGAAAGTTTTACATAAAAGCACCTCGCTGTTTCAAAGGAGGAAGACATTGTTCTGCATTTGTGTACTTTTCGCTTTTTTGCCTTCAATAAACATCACAGATATGCACATGAACAAATAAACAGTTGCCGCCCAAGTAATAAGGGCTAACCAACTTGGTAGAAGAGTCTTGGCTGTCACATTGTTGCAACGCTTTATACCTTGTCCAGTGAGATATAACACCTATTAAAGAGAAATAAAATGTTGAAAACATAAGAAATTATACTAATGATCGCTTCAGTCGTATAGTATATAATTTCAACTTAGGAGAATCACTGTGTGTAAGTTTTACGCATATATTAATTTCGCTTGCGGTCTTCCACAGTTCGAGTATCATTGACTGAACTCATGTGACATGTGGGATTCAAAAATCGTCATCTTTTCAATACTGGACATTTGATAAGTGACATCATTCCGTGATAAGAGATTGCTATAGTTATATGAGTGACCTAAACAACGTTTTTCGAATAAAACAGAAAGTAGATTGCAAGGGTATTAAAAGCATATTAAGGTACGTAAATCATACGATAATGTAAATCATGACCGACGTGTTTATATACAGCTGATTTATGAGTTAAGTTGGTTTGATACGAGAAATATGTAAGAAGCCGCCTGTTTATGAATGACATAACCAAATGAGTCGAAATAGCCGAATAATAAGAGAAGATATGATCGAATAGGGTTATTACAAGAGCTTTCATGATGGAAAGAGAAATTAAATAGAAAAACACACAAATACCCAGACTCGATTGTGGATGTGTAAACGTATAGTAAGGATATATCTGTGTAATAAAATCTCTTAACTGATGATGGCGTATAATATATATATGTTTATAGTTTACTAGGTTTCATGAATATTCTCCGAATTCACCATTTAACTTACTATCAGTACAGCGATAGCCAAGAATATCCCAGAGAGAATAATTGCAATCAGCTGAAAGTTAGAAATATGAAGGAATACGGTTTTACTCTGAACAGAGTACAAATAAGTGATTTGTTTTTAATATTATTTTCTTCTCTTTTATTCTGCATTTGCGTTTCACGTTACCTGCTGTTTGACTACACGTGATCTCAAGTTACTAGTTGTTCTCGACAGACAGGCTGCCTCTTCAATCAATCAGTATCACTAAGATGTTTCCCTCCCCAGATGGCCTGTTAGTAAATAGATGTGGTTATGATAAGAATATGTCGAATTATGTCGTTACTGGGGGGTAGATATTGGTCGCTAAAATACACAAGGTACACATTTATTTTACTTGAACTACTAACTGTGTGGAATGCAACATAGGACACTACACTAATATGCAGCACTTCTTCATGAAACGATACCAGGTTTTATGTTGACTCGCTCCAGCATTAATCCAGTCTGATCCCATGTCAACCTGCATTATCCGTCAACAAAGGCGGTAGCTCAGAATACTCAATGCATGCCATACCAATCTCAGTTGATTCATCTTCACAAATCCATCGATTCACTTACCTACTTACTTGACACTCAACGCTTAACCTCAATATTACTAAGTATAATATACTACCTAACACAAGAGAAATGCAGATATCCGTGATCAAATATAGCCAACTCCTATTTCATTTAGCATGGCTGGCGGACGTATAAGATAATTTAGAGCGCTGGTGTGCAGCACAGACCTCCTTCGATTGATAGGCGGATATAACATCTACGCCAGAGATGAAATAAGTTCGCAAATATTACATGCGCCTTCGCATCCGTGTAGAGATTTCATTAGAGATAAATCGATCGGGTTACGCGAAGCTTCTTGGAATAATGAAGTGTTAAATGTTACCACTTCATTGAATATCTTGGACCTAGGAGTCGATGCAGTCTAATTCTGTACCATAATCGTACATTTGATAGGGGCAAGTCACATATATAACTTTCGGAGATTTTCACTCATTGAGTTCAGAAAACGTAGCGATTTATGAGAACCTTTGTCTAGTATAACAATGTTATCTCCGTTTTCTAAGACATCAGAAGCCATGCCTGATAAAAAGTCAGCGATGAAGTCTTTAAAGTCAGTCAGTGTCATATCCGTTAGTACAAATATGAAGACATTTTAAGATAATTGGGACAGTGGACATCCTAGACGGACCCTAATGGCTACATCACCAGATAAAAGCTCTCAGTACGCTCTTTTTCAGCAGCCGAAGTTCGAGCAGAGTGCTTTGATTAGTGAGACATACTTTCTCGATAACCTATTCACGACCAAGCATAGTAAAGGCAAATCTTGATCAACGAAGTGGAATACTGACTTTAGCACGAGTAATATGCCCGGTATTTGGTGCTCAAATTTCAAAAGCTGTCGAGCGATGAGTCCATGATCAATTCACACTCGTCTTACCCTGATGATTGCATTGTCTTCTCATGCAATTCTTCTGAATACTACTGAGTCCAAACACAATTATTTAATCTAGAAGTTCAGATAATATACAAATCAAAGCAATCTGTCTATGTCCATCCCTGTCTTCGTGAGACGGCTTTGTCAGTTATTTACATCACTTTAACAGGACTATTTCTGATTCACAGCCATTATTTTTAACCCAAGTTAACTTTGACATCAGTTTGTCACTGCTATCATCGAATACACCTGTAGTCATAACATCGGTTCCTGCTACTTTACAACTTTTTTAAGTAGAAACAAACTTGGAAGCTCAAGTTACAGATTGAGGACTGGTATCTTTGCCCACCTAGATTGGTTTTGTATTGTCAGTAAGTCCAGTGTATCTATAGGCCAGTTAAACTGCAGGCGAGAAAGTTCTCCTCATGTTTTCAGTCATTCTTCCTGAGAGCTTGTTAGGGCACTGAAAACTCGTTGCTCAAATAAGCCTTGATATGTGTCTGGTGCTGACAGTCACCCAAGCATTTTGCTTCCGTTATGCACTACTTTTAGCGTTGGTTTGTAGCTATCAGCTCCATTTGAGGATTTTGTTGACTAGCTGACGCGTGTACATGGGTGAGGCAATATCCTGCGCTATGCCTGTGGTTAGCATTGATCGGAAACATATAATTATCCGAACATAACTGTGGAAGGCAACCGTCAGTGACAGTTTTTTGAGACCGACCTACGTAAGTGCAGCTAATACGCTGCACTGACCGGCACGTAGTTCTTGCTTGAGCATTGACCCATGTCGCCAAATAGATAATTTCTTAATTTATTTTTTTCTAGCAGTGAACTGGATAGCTTTTGATGGAAATAGGCCTGTATTTCACCAGGAGTGTTTTCTCTTCCGATGTAGGCAAAATTTATGAGAAGATGTTGACGTGTCCCGCAATATTTCGTCCTAACAAACCGAATCAGGTGGACTGCACAAATATGATCATCCAGTGGGATCCCATCAAGTGGAAATTTTTTTATTTTATCACTCAATCTGCGCCTACACCATCAGTCCCTTGCCAACTAACCGAAGAATCTCCTGATATCCGTTAGGCGGATTTTGCATATTTACCTCGTTGGCTAGGGTCTTGTGCGTGTGCAAACACAGCTCAGAAGGACAGAACTCTGATTGGTGATGTTTTTGCTCCATTTGGCAAATGTATCGGTAGCGATGGAGTTGAAGCAACTTTCTGCAATGTTTTCTGAAGAAGATTGTGGTTGCATTCTCTAAAGAAGATGATTTACTTGCCCATAGACTGATATCAACATTAAGAAGCAAAAAAGATGATGAAGGTGGGAAAAATTATTATATAGCGCACTCACGAGAGCTCTGTGAGCTTTCGGAGGTGTGTGGGCGTTTTCCTCTTCCTAGCTATCTACTTTTTGGTAGCTGATATCTTTTCTTATGATATTTTAAATACAAATAGAGCACTACGGTTTGTTGACCACTGCTTGAACCAGTGAAAAGAATTTGAAAGTGGTATGTCACTTCATACCTTCTCCGTGAATCTCCACTTTTACAGGGACAGATCAGTTTGCAATCCACGTGAATGGAAGAAATCGCGAACATATATGGTGAGCTTGGAATAAAGATTACCGAACCACAGCACAGATACTTTCTGCAAATCACAGTTTCCACTTATGGTCGATATGTATTGTAATTATTGTGTCAACTTTGACTAGTGGACAACTTTGCTAAAATATAACGAGGTACTCCATATTGCTGATTTATTTTCAATAAACCGTTCCACACAATATATCACCACTTACTCAAGAAATAGTAATTCATAGACAACATTTCAATCAACCGGACAATCACATAAAAACTCACTTTTTGAAATGAATATTATGCTACTTACTTCATGTTGAGAGAGCCTTAAAGCGATTAACAGGATGATACCCGACACCGCTATTCCACCAGCGACGCTCAACAGTATGATGCTTACTTTTGCACTCAGTTTAACCGTTTTATATCCAATTATCAGTACCACCACAGCCAGAGTGACTGTTATACTCCATGGTGCAAAAATTAAAAATTTCATTGATTTGGTGACATCAGGCAATGCTATAGACCATAATAATACCTACAGTATTCAAAGATTGGATGATAATTCGAAACTGTATGTTATTCAGATCAATTAACTTTAAGATTTAGTGTTTAATTTGAAAATAAATCGTTCTCGCAAACTTTGTTTGTATTCTGTTTATAATTTGTGAAGAAACATGAAAGAGTATCCTATATTCTACCAGACCAATAATAATATGACCGTTGTGCATTTAGAAACCAGTGGATCAAGCTGAAACTAAAATCGATTTTACGGCAAAATCTAAAGTAAACATATATTGTTGAGGGACAACTCAAGTAAATTCAAAACTTCTCTCAGATAACAAGTTGATAATGTCACTTCACTTTCCTCCTAAGTATGTAATGGAACACTAACCGAACCCAAATTAAAAATCCGCACAGTTTGGGAAAATCTGGTGCTGCTGTCTTCACAAAAACTGAAGTCCTTGAAATAACTCTCTGGCGGGAAGTCCAGAATGTCTGCTACCTGTTTTGCGGTATTTGTTGCCGGGAAATCGCATGACGCGTGCACGTTCAATCTCAGTCTCAGCAAGTGAAGTGACCAATATAATTGAACCAGCTTTCCAGTTTGGTCTAAATTCTGTCATTCTGAATTCTGTTATTCAAGTGTATAGTACAGGGACGGAGTGAGGGATGACATCTCTGTGATCTAAAACTTTCCAGAATACTTTGCTTAGTCGATTGCGTACAGTGAATTCTCTAGCACTCTTGCTCCATCACTATAAATATCGGTTGTGTAAGTATATCTTGCTGTTTCACATAAGAACCAAACAAATTTCATCCGAGTTCAGATGTAGAGAGTAATCTGAAAGACTAGCACTGACAGCCTGATTTCCCATCTAAGATACATAAGATCATAAAATGTCAAAATAAGAAGTTCTATATTCTATAATCTATAAATGAAGAAATAAACATACTTTTTTCTCTCGACAAACAATATTTTTACATTTATTACACTGACTGAAGTCCTTCAGCTATCGAGTCGAATATTTCATTTGATGTAATATAAGTCAGCCTGTAACTTTGGGTAAAAATATGACATTCAATCGCTTATATATACTGATTATTTCGTATGTGTTAAGAGCTTGTAAGAAACATATGTGCATGAATTCGATAAAGGTCAAACTCACCGAAAGTGAGATCAAGACTTCATTAAGTGGAAACGACTCTCTAAGTTTCACTATAATGAACAACAGTGATACGGGAATGGCACCAATTACACTGTAAAAGAGATAATAGAACTAGTTAGTTAGAGAGACTCCACAACATTAGGCAGGCTGTTGCTGAAGACTAACGCTTTATGATAAAAAAATTGATTCAGTCAAAGCAATGTTTGTCTATATTTATCAAGCTGGGCAAAATACTGACATGACACCTTCTGATATGCCATTCAACTAATATCTAAGCTAGTAAATCGTATTACTGGCTTCAAATAATCGTCATAAAGCCTCATAGAAC